GCTTGTGAAAACTTCACATTTAAAAAACTTAGTTTCTGGAAATGCTAAATCGGTATTATTTTTCTAAGTTGGTGGTAGAGAAAATTAGGTTTATTTTTATAATAACAAAATGAAGGTTGGGGGGGGGATTATGTTGTTACCTTTATAATAACAAAACCAAGGTTAGACCGAAAAATTACGTTGTTACTTTTTAAAAAAAAATTTAGATGGAGTTTTTGAAAGGTGACCAAGTGATTTATTCATGATTGCCTGTGGAAGAATGCTAACGAGTCTACGCACTCCCCATCCGGCAGGCACGTTAGATGTGTCGTGCTGTTTAACTCTCGTGTCTCTGGGGCGTAGATATGAGGAAGCCCCTTCAGAGTAGAAGAAACTCCAGATTCAGAGAAATTAAGTATTTGCTGTAACATTTTATTTCTTAACAAAAAGCAAGATCTGAAACTGATATGGCAAAATGATTAGATTTGACAACGTTAAATGGTGGGTGAATGTTATTGTGTATACTTTGTGAGCTTGAGAAACTTCATAATTTAGAAAATAAATCAAATGATGGCAATAATTTGACTACCTTACAGTGCTAATTAAGAGCAGAGCCCAGATTTAAATTCACATCTGTTTGACACAGAAGCCCATGTTTCTCCCATAATACTGTGCTGCCTCTTCACAGTGGAAACTGTTACATTTGCTTGAACTTGTATATAGCCAAGACCTGCATGGTGGGTATAACTCGTCATTAAATAGCTATTATGAGCAGGAATAATAATACAATATACCACCTTTTTTCCCAAATGCCTTCAAAATGGTTCAATAACCCCAGACAGGAGACTGTGAAAAGTATCCCCTATTCGCAAACAGCATCTTGGGATGCGGGGCTCAAGCTCAGAACCAGCCTCTCTTTCTTACAGTCTAAAGACAGAATTTAAAATAAGGAGCATTAAATTCAAGAAATATTATAGACAAAGAAAGAAAATGAGTAAACTAAAGAGAGTAGGTGGACCCTGGCCGGCGGCTCAGTTGGTTAGAGCATCATCCCATGCACCAAAACATAACAGGTTTGATTCCCGGTCAGAGCACATACATGAGGCAACCAATCTCTCTCCCTCCCCTTCTCTCTCTCTCTCTCTCTCTCACTCTCAAATCAATAAAAACATATCTTTGGTTGAGGACTCAAAAAAACAACAACCACCACAGCAGAGAAGAAACACAGAGGAGAAGGTGATGTAAAGACAGAAGCAGAGACAGAAGTGATGCGGCTACAAGCCAAGGAAGCCAGCAGCCGGCAGAAGTTGGAAGAGGCAAAGATCTCTCTCTCTCTCTCTCTCAAATCAATGAAAACATTCCCTCCGATGAGGATTAAAAAACAATTTTTTTAGAGTAGGTGGGTAGGTGGTAACTGCGAGTGAGTTCTAGAAGAGGAAAGGGAAAGAATTCTGAGGCTCAAAGGATAAGGAGAGTGGGAGGGGAATGATTATGTAATGAAAGGAGGCATCAAAAGAGGCCAATGAGGTGAAACCTGGGGATGGAAAAAGACAAGAGTTAGAGAAAATAAAAGGAGTTTAGATCAAGAAAAAATTAGAAATTATAGAAAAGAGAGGGACAAAGACATAGTAGGTAAAATGAATGAGATAAAGGAGCAGGCAGATGCAGCCTTGCAGTGATTTCATAAATGAGTTCCATGTCCTGCCATGGCTTCTCCTCCTTCCCTGACATGAACAGGATCAGCAACTCTGAGTGATATATTTTGCAATCGCAGGGCAATAAATTGAAAACATCAGTGACAGACCCTTTGCAATGAAAATTAAGCACTGAGGAATGCAAATTAAATACCGACATGACATAATCCTGAGAAATGTGCAGAAACATGTTGTTGTCCTGGACCGCTTTCAAGGCTGCAGCGAGCTCCGGGCCGCAGGCTGCTGTTACAGATTTTATTTCTCCCCCTCAGTCCCAGGCTGCATTCTCATCTTCACCAAACTAGCAGGAGAAACCTCCATGATGCTGGGGGTTAGAGCTCCAACGTGTGGATTGGGGGCCGGGCGGGTGGGGGACAGAGATACTATTCAGTCCATAACAAATGCATCCCAGATTTTGCTATTTCCGGCTTTTCACCATTCTAACAATGCTGCAATGAACGTCACTGTGTGTTGGTAACATGTGAGTATATCCATAGAATGAACTCCTAGAAGTAGAATTGCCAAGTCATTGATATTGTCAGGTGGTTCTCCAAACACGTTTGTCAAACTTCAACTGCCAACAGTGTCTGAGCAGTCATTTCCCCTCACAAACCACAGCATGTTATCAAACTTTTTTCATCTTGGACAATCTGTCAGTAAAAAATGATACCTTATTTTGGTCTGCTTCTTGTAGCATTTTTATAATAAGATGACTACTGTTGCTTTTTGTATATGCTATTATATTGACAGCGATTAAATGCTTGCATTATACATATGTTATTTTAGGGAATCAAAATTGCTAAGATGCCTGTATTCAAATCTATAGTCAGGTAATCCCAATATATCTAATCCAATTTAAAGAAGTATGGCTACGTGTGGTTTGCATAGAGTCCATTCTAAATAAGTACTTTCTGAATGAAACTGATCACTGGTGGCATCTGTTATCGATCATCAACGGAGATAAAGCCAGCCCCTAATCATCGATGCATTGTTGAGTGGTTGTGTATCTCTCAATAACTTTGAATTAATTTGAAGATATTTTCCTCTACCAATTCTTTGCCAATTGATAAGTGTTTTCAAATTACACTGAAAGAAAAGGGTTGCTTTTAATTTAAAAATTACCTAAAAATGTTTGGTAATTAAATCAAACCTAACTTTCTCATCATCGCTGTGCTTTTGGAGCCTCGGGAAGACATGGCACCAGGGCAGCCTCCAGACAGAAGCTCCTGCAGGAAGGAGCAGGCAGTGTGAGCACGGCAGGTTCAGGAAAGAGGCCGGGTCTGGGAAAGGTGAGCGGGCTCGCTGTGGAACATAAGATTTCAAAAAGGAAAACCGCCAATATTCAAACGTATAAAGAACTCCTGCAATTCAACACCAAGCAAACAACCAACTAAAAAATGGGTAGAGGACCTCAACAGACACTTCCCCCAAGAAGACACACAAATGGCCAACAGGTAGGTGAAAAGATGTTCAACTTTACTAGCTGTTAGGAAAATGCAAATCAAAACTATGATGAGATACCACCACACGCCTGATAGAATGGCTATTCTCAACCAGACAAGTAATAACAAGTATTGGAGAAGTTGTGGAGAAAAGGGAACCCTCATTCACTGCTGGTGGGAATGCAGACTGGTACAGCCACTATGGAAAACAGTGTGGAGGTTCCTCAAAAAAGTAAGAATAGAATTACCATATGACCCAGCGACCCCTTTCTGGGTATCTACCTGAAAAACTCGAAAACATTTCTTCACAATGATATATACCCCTATGTTCACAGTGGCCTATTCACAGTGGCCAAGACATGGAAACAACCAAAGTGTCCTTCGATGCATGGTTGAATAAAGAAGACATGAAACGTATATACAATGGAATACTACTCAGCCATAAGAAGAGATGAAATACAGCCATTTGTGACAACATGAATGGACCTTGAGAATATTATGCTAAGTAAAATAAGTCCGAAAAGGCTACGAACTATGTAATTTCACTCACATGTGGGATATAAGACTGAAAATCATACACAGAGACAACAGTATGGTGGTTACCAGAGGGAAGGGGCATAGTAAAGCGCAAAGATGGCCAAATACATGGTGACAGAAGATCATTTGACTTTGGGTGATGGACACACAATGCAATTCAGATCATGTATCATAGACATGAACACTTTAAACCTATAAGATCTTTGTAACCATTGTCACCTCAATAAGTTTAATTTTTTAAAAACTGCTGGCAGGACTTCGGTATGTGTGGATTTACGGGGAGAGGGCCCCTCGGCGAGGGAGGAAATCATTTTCATATTTAGCAGGACGATGTAGGTTTCCTAAGTGCCTTCTCACAGCAGCAGAAATATTTACGAGCAGATACACTAGTCAACTCTGTTTGCCACATGTAAGTCTGAAAGTGCACATTAAGTTTGCCATGTTTCAGGATTTCATCATGGTTTTGGCAAGAGTGTTTACACATAAGGAGACCTTTTGTTAAACCACATAACTCTGATCTGTTTATGAGCTCTAAAATTAAATTAGCTCGCATAAATACTGAGAAGGTAATTTTCATATTAGTCTCAATGGTCCCCAGTCCCACCACAAAAGAGCCAGTCACAATTCATTCGTGACACGGGCGGCCCGCCGGCGTGGGACAATGTGCTGCTTCGTGGGAGTTTCATGACCTACAGACTCTCACGCATTTGGAGGGGGAAAGAGTAGCTGGAAGCACTTTTGCTGGGTCTGTGGCAGAAGCTCTTACTATTGAATAGAGGAAATATACTGATGCAGAAGAGTAAAGAAGAAGAGTAAAGACTGGAGTTCAGAGCCTGCAAACTATCTCTGCAAAGGACCAAGTAAGTGTTGTAGGTTTTGTAGGCCATTAGGTCTCTGTTGCGACCACCAAACTCTGCTGTTGTGTCATGAAAACAGCCATGGACGATACATAAATGAATAGGTGTAGCAGTGTTCCAATAAAACTTTATTTACAAAAAAACATGTGGCAGGCCAGGTCTGGCCCATGGGCCACAGTTTACCAACCCCGGCTCTAGACTATATTGAGCTTCCCCTTCTCTGGTATTTTCTTTCTCAAACATACTCAGTTACGATATGTCAGGCCCTCTTCAGCTTTTTTAAAGTTAACATATTTAATTCTTAAAAGTACTATATTATCTTCCCATTTTACAGATGAGAAAACTAAGGCACAGAAAGGCTGAGTAACTTCCCCAGGGTTGTGCAACCAATAAATGGCAGAACTAGAACCTGAACCCAGGCAATCTGGCCACAGAGACCACAGCTTGCCACTCACTCCTGTGAGGTTTTAAACATGCAAAGAGCTCTCAAGAATTCACCTACCCTGCCCTTGCCAGTTGGCTCAGCTGGTGGGAGTGCCGTCCTGTACACCGAAAAGTGGTGGGTTCACTCCCTGGTCAGGGCACAGACCTAGGTTTTGTGTTCTGTCCCCAGTCAGGGCATGCACAGGAGGCAACCAAAGGATGTTTCTCTCTCTATCTCCCCCCCCCCCCCCCGCCCTTCTTCTCTCTCTAAAAATCAATGAAAACATATCCTCGGGTGAGGATTCTTTAAGTTTTTAATTCGTCTGCCCTTCCAGGACTCCTGGAGCTCTCCTCGTGCGGCCTGGACTCTGAGCAGATTCTTTTTGCTGCTCTTTGTCCGAGCGGAGCCCAGGTTAATTCCACGTCAGACTCCAGCGAGGGAGACGCAGGGAGGCCCTGAGGTCCCGAAGCCGCCCTGCCATCGGCAGGGTCTCAGATGCCTTGTTAAGGCCTCTAGAGCTTTGTCCAGCATTTTTCCCCAGTTTCCCATAAGCCTAGAAGCCGCTGTGTCCCCTGGAATAACTGGGGACAAAACGGTGCTACTAAAACATGCTATTTAAGAAACAAGAGAAGAGATTGAGAAATTGCCATATTGCATGTAAAATTAATGACTACAGAAATAAACATTTCACTCAAGGTTCTCCTCTAACACAAAATGATGGGCCCTCCGGATGAAAGGAGACGATGATTGTCACTGTAAGTGAGGGATCTGCTATCGCGGGTTTGGAAGTTTTCTCTGGTGGGTCTGGAGAAAGTAAACGAAAGCTGACTGTTGGTGTTGTCACTGCACGAGGACAGGAGTTCAAAGCTAACCCGCTGCGTGCTAGCATTCTGCATGTGATCTGCCCTGCCTACCCCATCAGACTATCGAGATTTTTCTTTTGTCAGAACGTGCCTCTTTCGACAGGGTTAAGACCACCATCCCACCTAATTAAAGAAGGCAGTAAACGGAACATTCCCTTTTGGGACACGGAGACCTCCTGGGGTTGCCAAAAAGAACTTGAAATGCTTTCAGATTGAGATTACACATGCCGTCACCTCGGCGATTATAAATTACTAGCTCTGTGCAAGGGCTGAGGGTGTGAGTAGAACGAGAAAGCAGCTATTCTCTGAAACAGCCTCTGGGAAAGGGAAGTGGGTGTTCCCATGTCCCATTCACAAAAGCCACGGACCAGTCCCCAAACGCTGCGATGGCCTTTACTGCAGAGAAAAGACCATCCACTGTGTCCCTGTGGGAAAGGCTCCAGCTTTCACATCCTGGGAGAACAGAGAATGTTTGACTCAGGAAGGGAAGGACATTTTTGTAAGTTTTTTTTTTTAAAAAAGACATTTTACCATGGAAGTGCGTGTTGTCACCCAGAGGAACCCCCACTGTGGGACTGTGACTGGGGTCCCTCGTGAGCTCAGCAGCTTTCATTGGACAGGAGACATGAAAAGGCAGAGGAGGAAATGCATGGGAGGCCTACCACGTGCCAGGCTCCATGCGAGGAATGTAACATAATCACATGAAAGAACTAGCTGATTTAAAATGTCAGCTTCTGTCTTCAAGTCTTGAAGTTTGTTGATTATCATTTAAAATACTTTTTCTTCTTTATAGCTGTGTGGTGATGGGTGTTAACTAGACTTATTGTGGCAATACAGCTGACGCTGAACAACACAGGTTTGAACTGCACAGGTCTGCTTATACACGGATTTTTTTTCCCAATAAATATACAGCCGATCCTCCTGGGTTTTACATTTGCAGATTCAACCAACTGCAAGTCAAAAACAGTATTTTCGATGCATGGTTAAGAAGCATACAGATACAGGGGGCCATCTGTATGCATTATTCTACACCATTTTATACACAGGACTTGAGCATCCTTGGATTTCTGTATCTGGGGCCTGAGGGTGTCCTGGAACCAGTCCCCTGAGAATACTGAACGACAACTATAGCTAAGTTCTCTATAGTTAAGCTCTGGGGGAGTCAAAAGTTATGCACAGATTTTCACTGCGTGGGAGTCAGGGGTGCTGTTCAAGGATCAAGTGTATATAGTCCAGTGATGGTGAACCTTTTGAGCTCGGCGTGTCAGCATTTTGAAAAACCCTAACTTAACTCTGGCGCCGTGTCACATATAGAAATTTTTTGATATTTGCAACCATAGTAAAACAAAGATTTATATTTTTGATATTTATTTTATATATTTAAATGCCATTTAACAAAGAAAAAATCAACCGAAAAAATGAGTTCGCGTTTCACCTCTGACACGCGTGTCATAGGTTCGCCATCACTGGTATACACAAATACCAAATCATTGCTGTACACCTGTAATACAATGTTACATGTCAATAATATCTCAATACAAAATATAGAATTAAAAAATCGTCCCGTTTCAATTGCTGTGAGAAAGTTTTACTTTTATCATGAAAACACTTCTTTCTCTGCCACCAACGCCTTCCTCCAAAGCAGGCCACAGGAGACGGAGGGGAAGAGGTCCGGTCCTGCGAGCACAGAGGGTGCCTGCCCGTCCTAGCACTGTCCGAGCAGGGGGAGCTCGGGGCACGCTCAGTACCCAGCCTCCTTCCCTCCTCCCTCCCCCACCATAAAGGGTGCGAGGGCCCTCGGGGTTCAGAGGAGTAACCAACGGGCAGGGCTCTGCCAGGACTGGTGTCGATCCCCTCGAGAAGCCACTACATCATTAGACGCTGGAGATCCGAACACGGCGCCGTGGGACTCGCGCTCGCGTCTGGGTCACACCTCCTGCACTTGCTCCATCCGATCACTGCATCCTCGCTCCCCCCCCACACACCCCCCATCCACCCCCCACCTTCCCATGGAACCTGCAGAGCTGCTCCCAACACGGCAGGCTGAAAACTCACTTTCCTTGACTTAAACGAATTTAGTCTCTTTTATATTTTCTGTGTGTCCTAGATACTGGCTAGCTTGGCTGTTTTAAGTTTTAAAATAAAGGCTGTGGGGCTCTGACTATAAGCCTTTACTGGTCCCTGTAAGCCCAGTGTCATACTGCTTGCTGAATTTAGATCGTGTCTATATGCTCTGCACAGATCATTCCAATGTCCTCGTATGATCTCCATAGCAACCCAGTGAGGACTATATTACTACCCTCGTTTTACAGAAGAGGAAAGTGAGCCTCAGAAGTTAGAAACGGGCAGGACAGTGGTAATGACTCAAACCCAATCACTGATTTCCGAGCCTGCCCCTCCTAACCATCAGGGAATGCTGCCCGCAGAGCCCTCTTTATCCGGGTGGTTAGCATAAAGCCACACACAATTGCAGCTCAGAAACCATCGTCACTGTATCCTTTCACTGTGTGTTTTTACAAGTCATCGTTGGAAGGCTAAATTTAGAGGAGCTGGTGCTTAACATGATTTCGGTTGCGGATGCCACGGAGAATCTGCCGGTGCCGCGGACTGGACTCTCCGCCCACAAGAAAGCACACGGGCAGCAGCGTGCGGGCTGCCAACGGTAAGGGTGTCTCCACTGACAGGTCGGAATCCTTCTGAGTCACAGGCTAATGTTGCCGGGTGGTCTCGCTCAGATATCACCAGCAAGCCCTCCCAGTCTCTGCCTTTACCTTCCAGGGAAGTGAGATGTGCCGTTTTCATGACGACATCCTGGCCACGGCACACGGAAATGACCCACAATGGACTTGTCACACGGCCAGGCTCCTGTGTCCTCAACGATGATGTTAAAGACTGAGTGACCTTCCTAGCCATCGACCTTAGTGACGTGGCATTGTTTTGCTACTGTGCGGGACACTGTCCCTATTAAAACAGCTTTGGCTTGTATTTTGTTTATTTTTTAAAAAACAGATTTTTATTGATTTAAGAGAAGAAGGGAGAGAGAGATAGAAACATCAATGATGAGAGAGAATCATTGATCGGCTGCCTCCTGCACGCCCCACACTGAGGAATGAGCCCAAAACCCAGGCATGTGCCCTGAATGGAAATCAAACCGTGACCTCCTAGTTCATGGGTCGATGCTCAACCACTGAGCCACGCTGGCTGGGCGGCTTGTATTTTAGAACACACATAATAATAAGGCACAATGCATTCTCCTTGCATTAAGCCATTCAGAGAGAAAGGATTTCACAGCAGGGCATAAGAAAAATACTTAGGAGAAGCTAGATCGAGATGTAAGCCAGTCTAGAACTGCATGGACGTTAAGAGCCCAAGCTCTGGAGTAAGAGAGTAAGTCAGGTGGCTATAGTTTTGAGTTTGGGTTCTGCCACTTACTTCCCATGTGACCTTGAGCCATTTACTTAACTTAATCTCTCTGACTTTCTTTATCTGTGAAATGGGAATAATACTACACATCCTGCATGGTTCAGTTAATGTTAAGAGTACATGCTGAGATTAGATGAGAAACACACAGTTTGGCACATGGTAAGCACTGGATAGTGGGTGATATTATATTATTCTCAGTAATTATTAATGGACTGGTCATCTGACATGATTATAAAAAATGATATTCTGATCAACATACAGTATATATATATATATATATATATACACACACACGCATATACAAACATATATACTGTATATGCATACATATATAAACATATATATTTATCACTGTTAAAATATGTGGAATTAAACTATGGACTCTTCGCTGAAAAGAAGCTGGAGTATCAATTTTTAAGGAATTCGAACATAATGAAAATGCTTAAAGATGAAATAATACGGCTTATCCTATCTTTAATCATTTGGAAGAATCCTCTAGGCTCAAGATTACATTAGTAAATATTAATCATCATTATTATACAATAGACCTGCAAAAATACAGAGTAAGAGAGGTTTCCAGATGATAAAATAGCAATTATTCTTTTACTGCAGAATATTCCATGATGTATCCTCTCATTAAGTCATTTGGAAGATTTATTTTTAAAAGATACTGAGAACATAGTGGCTACTCAGTGAATGCTTATCGATGAAAGGCCAGAGAAAACCAGAGGTGCCCGCCCTTAGGTACCCTCTCGGATGACGCCTCACCGCTCCCTCACAGGACGGAGATGGCGTGCCTGCTTTCGGGGTGAAGCTACTGTGTGCTAGAGAGCTTCACTTGCCAGCGTACATGCACATGTAGTGAGTGGTGTCAAGTGACTAGTAATTAGCGCATCAGCATTC